TGAGACATATTGTTTTTTATGAAGTGAATAATGGCACATTTGATGCACCTTAGCGCCTTAATGACTTTTCATTTTGTGTTCCAGGAAAGTGCGTCAGATGTTCCCTCTTTTGCCAGCCGCTGAACGTTGGTTTCGCTTTCCCCATTCACACGTTTACAGCGAATTTATATCCGTGAAAAGAAGTGATATAAGCTTGTTGTATTTTTTTGTCCAACATTTGAAGAGACACTGAACAGAAATTTCGAGCTCACAAAACAAGGCTGGACTGATAGGCGGCACGCTGCAAAGCCCAAAAACATCACTCATACAGCGATATCTGCAACAGATCGCCGTATTTTCGGAAAAGAAGTGTGCGATTGATCACGGCCGACGTGGCCGACGCGACAACTCACGTCACGGTTCTCATTCCCTCTCCTCCTCGCTTCGTCCGGTCGAGCTGGTGAACCGACGCGAGGAGGAGAGAACCGAGGCCGTTTCCCCTCTTTCTCAGCTGTTTCAGGAGGATCGTGACGTCAGAGTCCTCACTTGATCGCGCCCTTCTTTCCCAAAAGTACCATCACCCAGTTCAGATATCGATGCATGAGTGACGTTTTGGAGTTCGTAGCGTTCCGTTCAACTCTTTTGCGGCACTATTTTGTGAAATCCATATTTCGGCTCAGCATCCCTAAAAGAGGCTTCTAGAAAGATTGAATTCTACCAGTCCTACATCAGCCTCATTACGATATTTTTATGGTTTGTTGTTCCTTCTGTTTCTCTTTTTTCTGTTTTGTATAGTGCTTACACCATCAATGCAAAGAGCTGTTCGTTTTTCGCAGTGACCGATATAATATGCAATAAAGGACAATACACAGTGTCTTCCATGACTTTACACGTCTAATCTATACATGTATATATTGCGCGAAACAGGGCGAGCACTGCATCGGCAGTTTGTTAATATTAGACAGGATATTCAAGGCCGTCAACATTCAGGGTGGCTTAGGTTTGTGAAAAGAATGACTCCCTTCCGCCACGATAATAATTTCGTTAACACTGTTCAATATATATAGCATATAAAAGTACAATAGGAAAACTTGCTCGGGCTTTCTGTATTGGTCGCTTTACAGTAATACCTATGTTTACACGACGGGTAAAAATAACCCTGACAATCCGGCTGACTGCTTCGCGTTCATTCCTGTTCTATTCTGGCATGCTGTGTGTAGTTCTAGAAAAGTGGGCAGTGCTAATATTCACAATTCCAGCGAAAACGGGCGGCACCTAGCGGGAAAACACTGAACTGGCCGGAACAGGTCCTTTCGTGATTTGTGCTAGCCTCGTGTGGCTTCCGTTATAGAAGGCTTTCATCGGTTGGTGCGATTGCTGACAAGGCCGCAGGGAAAACTATGACCTATGTCATGCCCCATGCCCTGACCCATAATGTCACAAGGAATTAGGTGCACCTCGCATTCAGCACCCAAGCTAATAGCACGCGTAGCGAAAGCTCGCGTTGCAGAACCCAAGGATCCTAGGTTCACTCGTCACCCCTACCTGTTTCAACGTGAATGAGCATCGTACCGGCGTGCGGTCTTGCATCCCTACTGCGTGGAGCAAATTAAAAACACCAGGCTAACAGTCGTAGTCCACTGGCTAAATTTCTTCCCTACAGCTGAGACACCAGACGCCCATTAAGGCTGACTAACCTTCCGGCTGTATAAACATACATACACGATGATTATTTATATTAAGTAAAGGGCGAACAGTCGTATCGGTGGCTCGGAAAGTACCTACGCAACTGCGTTAATCAGACATTGTGCGTTTATCAATGTTCATCAGCGCGGTAGAAGGACAACAGGAAGTCCTTACAACGTTACCCTGAAGAAGACCCAGCGTCTGAAAGCTCGCTTACATCCATACGCCACCGCAGCTTTGAAGCGTGTAGTAGATAAGTATCGGGGTAAACTATTTTGGGGGGGGGGGGGGGGGGGGGGGGGCAATGCTTGCCTGCTGAAACCCGAGCGCTGTGCGTTGAGCTAGAACATGGCACGGCAGGACCTGTTTTGAACGCCATATTTGCCCGAAAGTGGCGACCCTTCGGGGGCCACTGAAAAAAAGAAAAGTGTTTATTTCAAACAGTCTGGTTGGGACAGCCGTGTCTAAAAATAAGTTTTACTCGAAAAAAAAAAAAAAGTAGAGCAATATTGACGGCACGAGATTAATTTGAAATTCTGCGCGCAAAGTTCATGACTTCACGGAATGGTCATACACTCTTTCCACCTCAACGACATGGTCATACACTTTGTACACCTCAAAGTGATCGCCAAGCCGATCTACCTCCTCCACGCGCTCGAATTGTCGAGAGAGAAAACAACTGGAAAGGAGGTAACGGCTTAGTAAATCGCCGTCTCGCGCCGTCAATAATAACTTAATTTTTTTTTTTTTTGACACGCGTGTTTAGGTTAAACTGCTTAAAAGAAAAACATTTCTTTTTGTCTTTAGTAGCTCTTTAAAGACGCTGGAGTCGCGAATATACCCGTTATACAGAGGTTGATAGGTTACACGTTGACAGGCAACAGGCTACAGGTTACTCGCAAACGAGTTACACGCTTACAGTCTACATGTTGACAGGCTACACACGACAAGCTACACCCCAGATTCTTCAGTCGTGTGGCCCGTACCTGCGTTGTTTCGGCTCTTTTCTAAACGTCATCCACGACAATGCTGCCCTCTTCAGGTTATGCGCGTGAAAAGGTTCAAGCAAGAAGACCACGAGGATTTTACGCACTATGCTGACCCAGCCTTCAAGCATTTTTGTGAACAGCTGTTTAAAATTGTCGCATGTCTACCAGCTTGTTCTCGTTAAGTTCGATCTGGAATCGGGCCTCTGCGGAACAGACAGCTTAAACTTCGATTGAGAGTTCCCACGGAAGCCATCACTTCCTAACACTGAATTCCGTCAGACGTAGATGCATGATAAGAAGTTAACAAACTTTCAATAACACAAACCCACGTCATTCTTGCCCAGGTACGTCGGCTGTTCAATTGTTCAAACCATGAAACACACACAAAAAAAAAAGAATATAGAAACGTCTTCCACGTAAGGGTTTCTGATAGTATAACGTTGTAGTCCTACCAGTGTTGTAGGCGTTACCGGAAAAAAAATAACGAAAGAACGTTACTCCTTACTTCCAAATAAAAGAAACCCGTTACCGACTTACGTTACCTCAATATAAGAGAAACGCGTTACCATTACCGTTACGAAGTAACGCACGTTGCTTTTGTGTTACGATTTTAATTACGAATTAACATGTTTCACTGGGACGTTACAGTGTGCACAAGCGCCATATTTCGGGACACATTATAAACGTCCAGAGATTGAACACAATTACATTATATTTTTCTACAATTCCGCCTAATACTAACAAAAAACAAATTAAAAAAAAAATTAAAAAAAACGCGCTAAATTACATAGCTTGGCGCCTAAAAACGCAAAAAGATTCTTAAGTGTAAAATATTTTAAGTTTTGGGATGAGTAACGTTACAACGTTACATGTTACACAAAAAACGTAACATAAGTGCATTATCCGTTACAGTTTTGAAAAGTAACGAGTACGCCACAACGTAACCTGAAAAAAGAACGGGTTACCGGCAACACCGTTACTTGTAAGGCGTTACCGCCAACGCTGGTTCCTCCACCCTGAATAAACAATGAGTTAAAGTAGCACGCATTTCAAGAAAACCAGAACAACAACAGCTAGACTTAAGAAGTGTTTGTCTGCTGCTTCTTGTCTATCGAGTGATTGAAGCTCCATTTATTTGTATTTTTAATAGGGAGTTCCGACGTTACTTCGGTCGCGGGGAGAGAGGTATTTTTCACCAGAATATAACCGCGGCAAATAGTCACTGCGGAACCGCAGCAATACGAAGGGGTGGAAACGCTATTTTACGAGACTGCTTGCATACGTTTTGCAGTTCAATTGTTTTATGTTGGTGTTTAACCTAACAAAAAAAGATAATTCTTCATTTTTTTTTAAATGAGTACATGAAAAAAGACTTATTCCCTAAAGAATTTTTAAAAAGATATTTGAGCAGCGCATTTACTATATATATTCTATTTTTTTTTATTTTTAAACACTGCATTTAGTGATTGCAATGTCTGGTTCACCCTTTTTGAAACGGAGCACATTTACACTTTTTGTTTCACGAGACATATTTGACCTCAAAACCAAACGCTTCTTGAAAACAAACAACAATATAAACTTTTTTTTTTTTTTTTAAAACGGCATATTTTTAGTGTGTTTTTAATGACTATTTGTTGATGCGACTTTTGAAAAATAAGTTTTTGTAGCACGGTGTTCCGGTAATCAATAGTACAAAAACCGGCCGCCCCCGCCTTTTTTTTTACCGCTTTCTAAAAAAAAAAAAAAATAAAAGAAAGACTAAACTAGGCTGATTTTATAGCGATTCCGGCTTCCGTAAATGCAACGGAGAAGGTATTTTATTCTGTTTAAGTTCCTCGGACTGCAAATGACCGACAACAAAAAACGAGACCAAAAGCCTCCCTCTTGACGGTATCAGAAGTATGAAATCGGTTTTCCCTCTACGTCCGACAGCAGGCAATGCTGCAATCCTACAGACACACAAAAAAAAAAAAGTGTAGGATAGGTAACTGCGTTATTTCTTTTTGATCAAAAAAACTGCTCCGACTTTACTCAACAAGATTAACAATTTAATCAAACGTTTCGTCTCCCATGCAGGAAACATCGTCAGTGAAACCTACAAGCAGGAATGCTTGTAGGTTTCACTGACGATGTTTCCTGGAATTCCTGCTTGTAGGTTTCACTGACGATGTTTCCTGCATGGGAGACGAAACGTTTGATTAAATTGTTAATCTTGTTGAGTAAAGTCGGAGCAGTTTTTTTGATCATTATGATTCCCGGCTTTTGGAATATTTTTGCATTATTTCTTTTTGCTTCGCAAACACTAAGAAGTAAACATTTTTCGGTGCTAATGTTCCGACGGCTCACCTTGAAATCCGGGTGTATGTTCCTGCTCATCATTTTGAAAGCCAGCAGCTCGTGCGTTCTGTCTTCGGACGACGACGACGACGATGTGCCGGGTCCGCCTTCGGACGCTACGCCGCCTCGCTGCAGATTGCTCCACGCTTCTTGGCCGGACACTTCCAAAGCTGCCACGAGCAACACCAGAACTGCCAAACCGCCGACCGCTTGGCTCAGCCCGTAGCCCATAACTTCCGCTAAAATCTCAAATTGCGCAACTTTCGACGAGCCTGGCCACAGATACCGAACTCGCGCTAATCCGGTCGGATAAATCAAACTTTTGTTTCGGTTCCGGGGGTGTGCAGACAGAGTTTTCGGGTGTAAACCCGAGGACGGTGTCGGCTGGCTCTACGCTAAACGTAAACAACAAACAATGAAATCCGGAGATAATGGCGGACGAATCTACGGCACTTTATGTTTGTGTGTTTTTTTTTGTTTTGTTTTTATCGTTCAAACAAACGTAATCTCTAGGGTAGTTGCGACGATCGTGCGAGTTGTGTCGTTCTGTGTGTCAACTATGTCCCGTTCCTCGACTACGAACCACGGCGCGCTTGGCGGTCTCACTTTTTGAGGATGCGGGGAGTGCCGTCGGTCTTTTTGTGTCACCCTCTCGGGTCCCAAGGAGCGATACTCTCCCCCTCTCTTCCTCCCTCCCTACTTTTAGGGAAGGAAGAAAGCGTGGGATTCCCCCGCCTATGGGAGAGCGGGAAAGAATGGGAGATTCTTTCCCGCTCTCTCATACGGAGAAGGAGGCAAGCGGACGTCTAGAAAACGCGCATGCGCTTTGTAGGACTTTTCCCCATTTCTCTCCCTTCTCCTTTCCTCCTCTCTTTCCCTCTCCTACCTTTCTTTCTCTCGTTTCCGTGGCCGCTCGTTCTGAGGATTGCGAATGATCGCCCACCACTGGGCTGCCCTCACGAGGCACCAACAGAGTTCCGCCCACTGCCCGAACCTCGAAATTTCAACGGCTAACCGGAAAACAGGAAAAGGGTCCCGGGTTACGTTTTATGGTTTTCGGTCCAAGTGTATAATTTTTTACGCGTATTTTTTTTTCTGTTTAGCTGGATGCTTTTAAAGTAATGAACCAACTTGCTCGGCTTTAGCCTGTTACAAGGTTGAAACTGTTGATCAAGATGGTTCAGGCAGAACTCGGAGGGGTGGTGTTGTCGCGCCCCAACGCGGTAGAAAAACTCCCCTTGCTTTTAAATGAGAGCAAATGCCGTAAGGAATTCCGCTGTCTAGCCCGGTCGTGACTGATGTTGAAGGTTGATAGCGCATCAACGTCGCAATAAAGATGAATTAACGATCACAAAATTCATAACAAGAGTATGATAGTTTTTTTTAGCCTTACGCTCCGGCAGCCAATCCCATATTTGTGACTGGCCTTTTTCATTTCACGTCGTGCAAGAAATATGGCTCATGTCTCAAAAGCTGTTGAAAAAAATTCTGGACAAATTCTTCGCTAGGAATATACTGAAATCCGTTCTTGCGCTATATTTTTAGTTTTCGAATTTTGACTTCTAAAGGACCAGAGACGAATTTCGGAGTTCGGGCGATCATCTCAGGTCGCGCATATTTGGTAGCTTTTCCATGGCTTAGATACCTACAGAGCGCGACACTGTTAGCGCGAACAAGCGATCGCTAGTTCTCTGTGTTTTTCTCTTAGAACCGAAAGATTCTTATCAAAGATATCATTGTTATAGGAAGAGCTCATTTAAGGATCTAGTATAACGGGTAAAATTGTGTGCCCGCTAACATTCATTCCTAATAAAATGCGAAAAGGTGCCGATGTCGTGTTCGCGCTAACAGTGTCGCGATGTGTACAGAACAAATTTCCACAAAACAAATAAAATTTCACATGTTTTTTTTTTAATCTACATTAATAAACATGACGTTCTTATAAACGTTCATTGTTCTTTTTTCTGACTTTTGTGAAAAAGCCCAAAACTTTTCCCCTTTGGCGATAATTTACCAGGTTTAAACAATGATTACTTTTGTAATAATCAATTTTATGACAAATATTCTATATATGAAAGCTTGAATGAATGCCTATTCAATAAACACGATATCGTTATAATCAAGTAAAGTTATCTTGACTAAAATGCCTTTGAATACGAGATGAAACGATAAAAACACAAATTTCAGCATTAATTTTGTTTAAAAAGGTGATTTTGAAGTGTTTTTTTTTTCGAATGAAGAGCTTTTGATAGGATTTAAAGTGTCTAATAGAAAGCAGATGTAATATATGATTTGGAAAGACACATCCGTTCATTTAAAAAAACGGAAGTTTTCCTATTCCATTTTAAGATTCTAACCTTGATCGTCTTAATTTGTATGTATTTTAATTAATTAATTCTTGGCACCTTGTCAGCCTATTGGTTGGTTTTGATTTGACCCTGAATTAAACAAAGTAAGCGCATAGTTGGGATGTTATGCTTAATATATGAAGGTTTTCCAACCCATGTTCAATTTGTTCACTTTCAAAAACCCTAAATCACAATTAATTGGATTCCTCAAAATATCCCATAAAAATTAAACTCCTATAGACAATTTCCCTATCACATTATTATGCCAAATGATAGAGTAATTGTGGGAAATAAAATATTTTAAACTTGCCGACAGCTTTAGCACAAATTTTCCGCATTTTCCAACTATCGCTTATCCACGAGCACTAATACCCTAGTTACACGCAGTGTTGTGCCCGTTACCGAAAAAAGTAGCGAAATAGCGTTACTCGTTAGTTTGGTAAAAAGTAACGCGTTATCGAGCTACGTTACTCGTTTACAAACGTAACGATATACCGTTACCGTTACTTTCCAAAAATAACGAACGTTACTCTTACGTTACTTTTAGGTTACTTTTTTGTTCGAGTACATATGTTTGGCAGAAATGTATGATAAGCCTCCTTAACAAGTTTGGATAAAGATAAAAATTTACAGAGTGGTTTCATAGTGTTTTGATGCGCGAAGCAGCTTCATTTTCGGCGTGCAGATTAGGCATTGAAACTGTAAATTACCTGATTCTGTCTCCTTAGTTGATACATTTCATTCAGACCTGTTGGCCATGGCGACGGACTTTCGTTATTCATGCCCATCTCGCGCGCAGAATGAGTCGCAGATGTTAGTCAATTGGCTTTTATAAACTACAGCATGCGAACGAGAAGTGCTGGAACACAACCAGCCAACCAACAGCCCTCATCTGTACACCGGTTTCAGTAACAGTCCGGTTCATACTATTACCAGAGACTGATTTACTTCACTATCTGGAACCGGACACCGGTTACCAGCACACTGACTATAATCATTTGCTGCCTCTTACCAGAAGTAGCTCTTAGCTTTTCTGTCAAAAAAAAAAAAAAAAGGTTTCGTGTTTGTAAGTTTTTTTTCCAGGTTTAAAACTTTTTTTTTCTCATTTTTTTATCATGACCTTAGGGAATTGAAGACTAATCAAGCGAAACATTCTTTTGTGTACAAAAGTGGGTCAGGAACTTTCAGGCAGCGAGGGGGAGAGCGAGGGTAAAAATATTCCAGAAAGGGTGTTTCTTTTTTTTTTTTTTTTCAACTAGAGAAATAAGCAAATTGCTTCGCCACAATTTGACCACTGTTGTAAAGGGATGTCTCTCCACTCGCCCCCCCCCCCCCCCCCCCCCCCCCGCCCCCGCTGTCCACTTCTGCTGCACAAAGCAGGGGGGGTTGGGGGAGAGGAGGGAGGGGAGGAGGCTGTAACGCAGTCGCTCGTTCAAGCCTTGTGGGTGGTGACACTATGAAAAAAAAAGAAAAGATAGGATTAACGGAATTAGCTGGTAGGCGAAGGTTTTTTCACCTTCAAAAAGTGAGTTTTTTTTTTTTTTAACTTTAATATGACGGATGCTGGTTCCGTGCAGCGATAAGCTGGTGCAGGATTTCACCAGTTCTGGTCAAAAGTAACGAGTAACGAGTAACGAAATTGGACAGCCGATACCGTAAAAAGTAACGGAAATACTTTACTCGTTAGTCATTCAGAATACTAACGAGTACGTTACTGCGTTAGCGAAAAATGTAACGCGTTACCAGTAACGTCGTTACTAGTAACGCGTTACCTCCAACACTGGTACACGGGCGTTTTGAACTGTCATTGAGTTCATTCATTTATCGGCCCCAACTGGGATTGAACTTAACTGAAGTGAGATGGCGCTACACTACTTTCTGGAACCCAGTTAAAGCTAAAACGAAACAAATTCTTGTGCCACGTGATGAGTCTAATTGTTAAAGTAATTTGCTGGGAGACACACCTTTTATTTATTGTGAGTATATCGTACAATATGCTTAATGCAATGTTGCTTTTTAGCGGCGTTTATACGAGCAGCAAAGCAAATTAAGGGATAGGTTGCGCATATTTTACGCTAGGTAGTGCGAGCTACCACCCTCTACGATGGGTGCACACATTACTATTTGTCCATTTTTACAGCTTGTCCCTCCGCCATCTTCGTTCGTTTGGTGGCTTGCCGGCAACGTTACGAGAACCACTCAGTTGGGAAACTGCCATAGAGACTGCTCAGAAAAAGTGGCACCGATCCGTACTCGAGAACCGAGCTAAAAGCGATCACAACGCCACCATTTCTCCCGCAGTGGCCACTCGAAGAACTGCACGTGACTTCCATTTTGGTTTTAATCGGTCATTTTGGGGCCAAAGCAGATACAGTGGAAGGGGCCTCAGGGGTGCCACCCCCGACTCTTAAGCGGACGCGCCGCGGATTATTACCTAGCTCGGGAAGCGCTACCTCAAATCAGCGCCGAGGCACAGTTGTATAAAAACAATATTAATTGTATTGCGAAACCTTGCAAACTAAAGATTTTTGAAAACAACACCCGCCCTTCATTTTGCACTAAACTCCAATAAAAGTTACTACAAAAAGAGTTTATTCCGTTGGTTTTTACGCATAAACATGCTTTATAAAAGCTCAAGGTGACCACAGTTAAGACAAATGATACAGAGTGGCGCTGGTGTCGTATTTAGCTCGGTCTGGGTGGACGCCAGCGGCCCAGGTTTCAACGGTGATTTTCCTAACTTAGTTCTAGTAACGTTGTTTGCCGACCAGCCGGAATCGTTTTAGCGGCAACTCCGGACGCCTAAACCTTTTCCTTCCCATATATTCTGCTGCTACGATTCTTTTTAGACGCCTCCCCTTGCATCCCGAAACAGTAAGTGCCTCACAAACGATGGTCGGCGGCAACGATCCCGCGGACAGGAGCCATTTTACCTCCGTTGGGAAAGTCCGTTCAGTTTGACTGCGGCAGGGGAGCTCAGTTGAACTTAACTGTCATTAGCGGCCCGATGGCGCCGCCGTGTAAGTCCGGCCGATCGCGATTGAGTTAACTGTCATTGACTCAATGGCAGTTGGGAGCTCCCGTGTAGCTAGGGTACAATGCTTGTTTAGAAGGTAGGCTTGTTTAAACGTTATTAATATCAGTTTCATTTCTTTCTTTTGTAAAAAAAAAAAGCTTGCACAGCGCTTGTCTGTTGTAATTGTCCTCTTTTTTTCCCCTGTTTTTTGCGTTTTTTTATTTCTTTATGAACCACTACC